AACTTGTAGCAAAAATAATTCATCAGATCATTCTAGTAAGCGTAAATCATTTGTTGATATTTGGAAATTATTCACCTTGTGCTGCAGCTGTCACTAAATTTTGTCCCTGTATGAGTGACACAGGGAAACAACATCAAATTCTTCCAACAACTTCCTCATTAAACTGATAAGCATTAGGGGAATTTTTTAAGTAGAGAATTTTTCTTAACATCAATGATGTTGGTGTTGAATCCTCAGCTTCTGATGAGCAAACAGCAATTACATTTAAACAGGGAATAGCCTAAAGCTTTTATATAATCAATATTTCTATTATTGATTGAGTCACAAAAATCACTTATGAAAATATCTTTTAACTGGTTGGCTTATTTTACTACTTTTTGTTCACCCTTAATCTATGGAGCTCCACAAACTAGCTGGCCAAATTTCAGGACTTAATAAATTGAAAGAACTGAAAAGTTAATTACATTTTTCACTATTGTCATCAAATACCTTTTCATATTATCTATTAGACAATCCAATAGTTTTTCTCTTGGAATTGATGTAACCACAGGCCCTCTAGGACCAGTTCAAACTGAGCCCATCCTACCAACAGAAGGTTTTTTCAGGGGCAAGCCAAAAATTTCCCAAGTCATGTAGCCAGAGCACATGCAGAGAACAAAACCTTGACCTGAAATAACACCCGGAACCACAGATTCTCCCCCCACAGAACCAAAGGACCGGGCCATGACCGGAACCTGAAAGTCAGACTCTCATCAGAAGTGTGGGGTCCATTGGCTAGAAAGATCTGGTGTTAAAGCCCCTTCCACACCTTACCATAAATATTTAAAGCCCTCCAACCAAAACCTGCCCCACCAGTGCTTCTGCGTGCCAGCCTGTCCCCCTTAACCTCTTAAATTTTGCCCCAAACCGCAGATCAGGGAGACAGATCTTAAAGATTTGCCTCCTGCCTCCTTGCTGGTCAACCTCGCAATGACGCCTTTCCTTTTCTCAAAAGTTGGTGCCATAATAACTGGCTTTTATGCCCATTGGACAGAAAACCCCCTCTTTGTGGGGTAACATTGATACTTCATTTTGTTTCAAATGGTATACCTATTTTTTTTCACATCTATAATATCTACCACTTCTGTGTCACAATTTCGTTCGTTTGTTTATGTTATGGACTGAATGCGTGTGTCTCTCCAAAATTCATGTTAAAGCCTTACTCGCTACCCCAATGTGATGGTATTACAAGGTGGGGGCTTTAGGAGACAATTAGGATTAGATGAGGTCATAAGGGTAGACGTCCTAAGGATTAGTGCCCTTATAAGAGTCGCAAGAGAGCTTACTTCTTCTGCTCTGCTCTCCACCATGTGAGAATACTAAGGAAGTCAGCAGTCTGCAATCCAGAAGAGGGTTCTCACCAGAACCCGAACAAGCTGGCACCCTGATCTCAGGCCTCCAGCCTCCAGAACTGTGAGAAATAAATTTCTTGTTTATAAGTCACCCAGCCTGTGGTATTCTTTTAAAGCAAACCAAGCAGACTACAACAGTTTACATGTGTTCAATTGTTTTATAGTCCACTGAAATAATGTCAGCTCTAAAACATTTTTCTCATGAAGCTAAAACAAATATTGACATTTCCATTAAAATATTATTAAGGCCAAAACTCTTAAAAACATATTTTTCAAATGGCTAACCATTCCATTTCAGTTTCTATTACAGTGAACATGCAGAACTTACTGATCTCCACACTGCTGTCCATCAAGCTTCAATTTTCATTACTTAATTTGCAGTTCTGATATTAGATGTGATAGTGAATACAGCTTGTTGAGGAAAAATATGAAAATTATTTGACTTAGGCCTTGTATTGCTTTATCTAAAATTAATTTGATAATTTAGTGCCAAATTAAAACATCCAAATTTTTTCTAAACTTTTGGCTGAAACTCTAGACTCTCTCTAGCATTACACTGGCACTTTTAACCCAATGACTTTAATTGTTGTAAAATATTCCAACAACATTTTTATGGAAATATTTTTCAATGAAATATAATTTTTCCTGCCCACCAGCAAGTTCAATATGTTGTATTAAATGTGATTCCCACTGCCATAAGGTCGACAAGAACCATTAACCTCAAACTCTTGAAATTTGTATTTTAAGCAAATTATTAAAACACCTTTACGTGACGTTTCAGCTTCTTTGATGATTTAAAATGAACTACCTTGATTCATGTTTCCCAAAAAGTTTTCTCATTTAGGTACATCTATATTTTGTAACAAGTGGATCCATAGTACCCATGTCCCTATCAATATTATTCCTTTAGAAATTCTATTATTTTCATGGAAATGCTCAATTATTTTATTATATAGTGCGAAAAATTCTGACAGTACCTTCTACATCTTTTTGATTGCTTTATCCTCTCTGATAACATTTTGCAGAGTTTTAAGCTTTCAAATGTTTCATGTATGAAACTGTCTTAAATTTCTTCCTTAATGATCACAAATTTTCTTCACTTGAACCACAAGTTTTAACAGCATCCTGATGAAATATATACATGTTTAGCACCTTGATCTTTTAACCCGTAACTTTTGAGTGCTATTTGCATCCAACATTTCTCTCAGTAGCAATAAGTCAAATTACTGATTGAATAAAATCAAGTTATTTTCCATTCCAGAACTTCAGGTTTTATGTAATAAAATTTATTTAATACAAGTTTTACTTTGTGCAGATTCTTGCAGAGGATCAAAACAAGTTCCAGGCTGGGATTCACTATTATTATAATTCCTTCTTTGTTCTTCTGCATATTAACAAGATTCATGTTTATTATATTTAAAAGTATTAAAAACTTATCCAGGGGCCAGCCCCATGGCTTGGCGGTTGAGTGCCCATGCTCCGCTGCTGGCGGCCCAGGTTCGGATCCCGGGCACGCACCGACGCACCGCTTGTCCGACCATGCTGAGGCCGCGTCCCACGTACAGCAACTGAAAGGGATGTGCAACTATGACATACAGCTATCTACTGCGGCTTTGGGGAAAAAAAGGAGAAGTGGCAATAGATGTTGGCTCGGGGCCACTCTTCCTCGGCAAGGAGAGGAGGATTGGCATGGATGTTAGCTCAAGGCTGATCTTCCTCAAAAAACAAACTTATCCAGATTTTGTTGTCTCTTCATTCTAGGTATTTGTTTTCAATATTTTATAATAAAATCTTAAATGTATAAATATAAAAACACTGCACATCTGCTACTTTTTGAAATAATTACCATCTACTAACAATAAAATTAAAAGTATTTTAAACTAGTGATAACTCCTAAAGCAATTAGTGTTTTGTTAACACATACAACTTAGCCACAGTCCCTTCGGTGACACAGGCCAAACTGTGTCATGAATGTTTCTCAGATGTGGCTACAATAGAAAGCCCTTTTCCAATGGCACTAACATCCTAAAACTATCAGTAGAAACCAATACGTTTATATTGAAATGTGTATTATTACCTAACTGTAACACATTGCAATTACCGTGATACGATTTACCACGAAGTATTTCAATATTTTAACCATCAGTGTGGCACAGGGTACATACCGGCTAAATACGGGCTCTGGTGAGTCTGCTGGACTTAGTCCAGGGACTGCAGTTTTAGCTTGTGGCCAAAACTCCAGAAGAGATTATCAATGGGTCCTGGATCTGAAGATGCAGCTGCATTTCGGAAGCATCTCTAGAAGAACAGCCTGTGCTTACTTTTTTGTGTGGGGGATGGAAATCAAGTGATGTCACACCTGGGCCTCTTCACTGATTGAAGTAACCTGCCTGCCTCTGGTAGCCATTTGAATTTCACACCTGGGATTAGGTTTTCAAAGACTTCCTGTCCTACCAAAATCCCTGAGGCAAGGATTTACAAATCCTGGCTACCTACTAGAAATGGGAGGTAAGGGGAAAATACAAGTAGCAATCCCTTAACCAATACTGCAAAAAAGCATCTCGCCACATCTGCACCTCCAACTTCTACCGTCCAGGTCAAGACTCCACAAAATCTTCCCTAACCACAGCCAGCAGCGCCCACCTCCCCCTCCTCTCAGAGCTCACAGCATTGTCTTTCTCTTAGACTACTTATCACACGCTACCCTACGATTACACATGCCTTGAAAATAAATTCCAAACTTCCCATCTGGCATCCCTTGATCCACCCATTGGCCCCACGAACTTTAAATCTCATTGTTCCCCTTGACATAGCCTTTGCTCCAGCCAAACATGACTTCTTTCCCCATAGATCTTGGGCAGTCACACCGCCATGCCTTGCTCACAACCGGATCCTCAAGCTGGAGCGGGGCCCCCCCTCCCTCATTTCTTCTCGCCGACAACCGGCAAGGCTTGGCACAAAAGCAACTCCTCCGGAAAGCCCTTCCGGGATTCTCCAGCGGGCCAGACCATTCCCTGAGCTGCCCAGCTCTTCGCTGACCGTCTGTCTCTCCAGGAACTCCTCCCATTCGTCCTCAGACGGCAGGGCCCAGCACGAGTCATTTCCAGGGCCGCGCCCAGGACGAGCTTCTGGGTTTGCTGAATGACTCAGCAAACGAGGGTGCTCCGTCGGCCCCACCAGCCGAGCACCTACTAGGTGCGGGCACCGTGGTACGGCGCCGGGACAAAGCTCCCGCTCAAAGGAGCTTCCTGTCTATTCGCTAATCCGAAGAGTCACAAGTGCTGTGAAGGGCATGGAAGCGATCTGGAACTCCGCCTCGCTTGCAAGGGCCGCAGGCGCAGACGGCCGCACGCCCTTCCCTCAGTTGCCCCACCAACGCGCACCGCCTCTGTCTCCCGAGGCGTCACACGCCCTTCCCCGAGCACTCTCGCGTTGCCCAGTCTGCGCAGCCGCACACTCCCAGTCCCAGCGTGCCCCGCGCCCCGCCCCGCGGGCTGGGCACCCTCTTCCCGAGAGGCCGCGGGAGCCCCGCTGCATGCTGGGAGTTGTGGTCTCGGAGGAGGCGGCGCGGCCGCCGGCCCGCAGCGCGTGGCAGGAAGCGGAAGCGGCCTGGGGCCCGCCCTGGCCCGGCCCCGCCCCGCGCCGCCCGCTCCCGCGGTGTTAGGACTGACGTGTCTCTCGGCGAAGGTGTTGCGTGCCGGAGCAGGTTCGGCCGCGGGCAGCGTCGCCTCACTCGAGCCGAGCGGAGCCGAAGCGGCACCCGGAGCCCGAGCAGCCGCCGCCATGGCGAGTGAGTCCCCTAGGGCAGCCCCGGCGTCGCCGGGACGGGCCAGAGTCCCCTTCCCCTGCCCGGTCCGGGCGGGCGCCCCCCGCCAGGCCTGCCCGGGGCCCCGCAGAGCGAGGCCCGCGCCCGGCTCTCCTCGTCCTGGGCGGAGGCTCCCCGGTGGCGCGGATCGGCGTCCCCAAGTCCTAACTCTTCTTTTGTCTCTCCCATCAAGTCAAGTTTCTGGAAGTCATCAAGCCCTTCTGTGTCATTCTGCCGGAAATTCAGAAGCCGGAGAGGAAGGTGAGTTCCCCAGTCGCCGTCAGACGAGGCTGCGTGAGGCTGTCTGGGCGCTCCAAGCGCACGGCGCGACTGAACGCGGCTTCGGCGCGCGAATGGGAGCTCGCTTCTCTGCCCTGGAGAGTGCTGGTGCGTGCTGTGCTGCTCCTGAGCTTGGCGAAGGGCACCTGCCTGTGTGGGAGAGTCCCCGAAGTCGTCGTGCTTTATTTGGGGCCCCTTGTCGACGTTTCTCCGTGAACAGAGCCTCAGGCTTGCCCTGTCCCCAGCGCGTCCTGGCCGTGAGTGAATAAGGCGTCAGAAGCCTCAGTGAGGATCCTCGGGTCCGGTTACCCTTCCTGCTTCGCGTCCAACAGGAGCAGGTCGTGGGTCGGATTTCTCTAGGAGATGCTCTTCGTATCCAGCTGCTAGTAGGAGCTAAGAGCAGTCACTTTATTCTGTACAGATGAGTTTGTATCTTTTACGTAGGCTGTCGCGTTCCTGAGAATAAAGGCATGTTGTGAACCCTGCTTTTTACAGCAGGCCCATTAAAACATGGATAGAAATGTAGAGCTCTATTGAATCTTTATCAGAATTTCCGCTGCTCCACAGCTACAGGCCAAGATAGTATTGCCAACGCAAGTAAAGCTTTTAAACGACGAAGAAAAGTTTCATTGGATTCTTACCTTAAAGAGAATGAATACTAATATATTTTTGTCTTTACATTATTTTGGACTATTGTTCATGCATTCACATATGTGTATGTGTACTTAACATCAATATAGACGCTTGGGTTCTTGAAGTCTACTTTTTTTTTTTTTTAACTTAAAATCGTTTTGTATAAATGTCCGGTGTAAGTGCTGCCTTTGATGGGCTAAGATGCAAAGCTCTCCCCCCACCCCCACCCCCAGCATAGTAGAAAGTGCAGGGCTCTGGAGGCAGGCAAGCCTGGAACCCACGCTTTACACAGCCTCTTAATAGCTGTGTGACCTTGGCCTTATAAGTAGATGGTAGGTGGAGCAGGAGAAATGTGTGCAAGGTATAGCAGTGGCTCCAGAGGGATTAACGCTGCAAGATGTGATGTCCGATGGTGGTTTTGAAGGAAGAATAGAAGTTTTCTTGAGAGGACAAGGAGTTCCAGGCATAAGGAATATATAGTGTGCAAAGGCAAAGAAGACCAGCAGGTGGGAGGGTGTTAGACATAGTTCAGTATTGCTAGAATATAACGGGTAGGTGGGGCGACATAGAAGGTGGACAGATTAGGAAATTGCTTTGGAAGTAGGGTAGAGGGTTAGAGTGGTTTAGAGGCTTCTGCAGTAGAGGGTGGACTAGGAGAGGGGAGTAGATTTAGGGGCCAGTAAGAGGTTGAGTAGACAAGACTCAGATAAACAATTTTTGATGTTTCGCTGTTGAGTTTGGCTGTATCCAGGGGAGGACACTTGGTTATTAAAAAGTGAGGAGTCTTGTAAAAATTGTCTACTCGTTTTTCTCGTGAAGAATCATTTCAGTACCAGCTGGTTATATTATTGGTTAGCCTGAAGTGGTGTTGCCTTCCCTTGGGCTACTTCTAGTTTCTTAGTGTGGTGAGGTGACAGGTGGGAAGGGGGAGCCTTCTCAAGAGGAAGAAGAGCTCTGTGAATTCATGCCAACTTCATGTGGAGTATCTGAACATTGACTTCCCCCCTCTTCGTGGGGTCGTGGGGTCGTGGGCTTGTGGGCTTGTGGCCTGCCTAGAGGGGTAGACATAAAGGCCGGCAGCTTCTACTCCGACCAGAGATCCAGGACTCTAACTTGGTGCTCACGTTAGATTTCTCTTCCCCTCAAATTAAAAAATATTTTTTAAGAACACAGTTTTGTTCACTTAGCACTGTTGCTCGCGAGGTATTTCCACATCAAAATCCTCAGTCCGCACAATAATTACTGTGTGTTTTAAGCCCTTTCAAGCCGTTATCGCAGTGTGGATGGCAAGTACTAGTGAAGACACTCAGTTTTAGAAGCAGAAGACTCGAAAGAGTTCCCACTCGACTTCTTAGTACCTGAGGAGCCTTGGCTGGGAGTGAGGGATCTAAACTTTTCTAATGATACTTCTGAGGCATCTGTAAAATGATCTCGAATTGTCACCTGTCCTACTTACATAGTGAGATGTGAAAAGAAGTGAAGTTAAACACCTGCTACTAGTTAGTTAGTGAGGAGGTTAACCGTGCAACTCTCCCTGCCCTCCCCCTAATATTGTTTATTACATTGTTTTACCCTTAATTCATAGAAAGTATGCTGTTAAACAATCACAGATTCCAAATTAGTTGATTCCAGAATAACAAGGTTTTGTCAATTACAAAACCCGTGAAAATAATAAATGATTGCTCATATGTTGTAAGGGCTTGTCTGGTTTAGGAATCCCTTTTTGTTGCAACATTCTCTGATCTTGGGTCTGATCGTAAACTGTTAATACTGATGGTTAAGAGCACATGCTTTGCACTCAGACTCACTTCAGCTGCGGGATTTGGGACAGATTACTTCGCCTTTCTAAGACGCAGTTTTCTCATTGTAAAATAAAGATAGGGGCCGACCCGGTGGCGCAAGCAGTGAAGTGCGTGCGCTCTGCTGCGGCAGCCCGGGGTTCGCCGGTTCGGACCCCGGGCCTGCACTGCCGCACTGCTTGGCAAGCCATGCTGTGGCGGCGTCCCATATAAAGTGGAGGAAGATGGGCACAGATGTTAGCCCAGGGCCAGTCTTCCTCAGCAAAAAGAGGAGGATTGGCAGATGTTAGCACAGGGCTGATCTCCTCACAAAAAAATAAAATAAAATAAAGATAATAGTGCTGTGTAGTGTGAAGATTAAATAAGGCCTTTGCATATGTGCCTTGTATGTAGAAAGGATGCAATATGTGTACTTTGGTACGTAGTTTGAAGTGTTCAAGACTGACCTCTCTGGTGAACAGAGACAGGGGTCTGATCTGAGTCCATTTCTGTTAATTTGCTTATGAAAATGACTTGTCACCTTAATTGACTCTCTTCTACTGTAGATTCAATTTAAGGAGAAAGTGCTGTGGACCGCTATCACCCTCTTTATCTTCTTAGTGTGCTGCCAGGTAAGCACAGGTTTCATGTTCCAGTGTCAGGGTGGGGGGAAGAGAGTGGGCTGGCATCAAGTACACTGACTCCTTTTCCCTCTGCTTGTTTCCAGATCCCCCTGTTTGGTATCATGTCTTCAGATTCAGCTGACCCTTTCTATTGGATAAGAGTGATTCTAGCCTCTAACAGAGGTAGGACTCTGGCTCTCTGTGCCTCTCTGTACAATGTGGGCTTTACTGGCTTCCTTAGTTAAGTTACAGGCTTTAGATTTATGTGGAGTTGAGTGTTTGGCAAGGATGTTAGTGTGCGTGCTGAATAGCCTTAGTAAATGCCAAATTCAGTGCTGAGGCATATCGTCCTATTCAGAATTGCATTTGAATGCTGTACAAAACCTGTAATAGTAAGATAAGTCTACATCGTAGAGAATTCAAAAAACATGGAAAAACTAGAATGTTTTTTAAACAACTGAAATGATGACATTTCTATGTGTCTTGTTGTTGATAACATTCTTTAGAATATGTAGTTTGTTTCTCAGCTGCATCTTTTTCCTATCTATAGGTTATATATATGTGTCAAAAAATATGTCACAGTGTTTTGTATACTCTAACCAGTTTCCTGTGTGGGGGAGGATTTTGAATGTTTATGTTGTTGCTGCTTTTGACTAACTCATTTTAAAAATATAGTTCAAATTAAGTTCCAAATCAGTTGGAAGTACAGCTCATTTGAGCATAATGGAAGTAGAGATTTATTCACAGCTAGATACAATTGTACAGGTCTTTCCAGACTCTGGAAATTATTTGAATGTTATCTTCTTTTATTAACTGATGAAGAGAGGAACCTTTCTTATCGCTGTAAAACCAGAATAAATCTTTTTATGGTGAATTTAAATGCAGTGATCTGTTTAAACACTGTGTGACTTCCTAAACAGAATATGATGTTGCCTGGCAGACTGAATAGAATGAATGTAATGATATTCTAATCGTTGATATTTTGGAGTTATTCTCTGAATTAAATGCTGCTAGCAGTCTGAAACACATTGGATTTGTATAAGGGATACACAAAGTTTGCTCATTCATTTTCTTAATAATGTGTTGCTTTTCATTGGCCGTGTTTTGCCTCCCCATTTCCTCAAGGCACATTGATGGAGCTGGGTATCTCTCCCATTGTCACCTCTGGCCTCATCATGCAGCTCTTGGCTGGTGCCAAAATAATTGAAGTTGGTGACACCCCAAAAGACCGAGCTCTCTTCAACGGAGCCCAAAAGCGTAAGTGAGATTTTAAGTAATATTCAGCTGTCTGTAGTTGAGAATTTGAATTTGCTGTATAGTTTGGGGCATCAAAATGTTTTTTCTTTGTCTGGTATAACTTCATTGGCCTGCCAGCCCTGCAGGTGCTCTGTGGCCTGTGTTAGCACAGGAGGACCTCTGGGAGAGCAGAGTGCAAGGCACCGGGAGAGGCTGGGCAGGGCCAGGGGAGAGGGTGTCGAGGCCCCTGTGGCTGTGTGATGGAGTGGAAAGGGCAGGGCCTGGAGGTCTTCCTCTCCACCGGCCATAACGTCCTTACCACTTAGAAGGAGATACTGGGTACTTCCAAGCTGTTCTAAGAATTCAGTTGAATAATGTATGTAAAATATCAGTCAATGCCTGGCACAGAGTAATTTCTTTTTCTTTCTTCTGGGATTTTAAAAGGATTCATCTTAGGGGAAAGGTGACCCTCTCAACCCAGCTCTACTATTTACTGGCTCTGTGACTGGACAAAGTTAGGTGACAGCTCTTAGTCTCAGTTTCTTCATCTGTAAAAATGGGGATAATAATGGTGTTTGCATCCTGGCAAATAGCATGTCACTAGTAACAATGACCAGTCATCAGAATTACCCATGTTCAGCCTCTGACTGTGAACTGAAATATACAAATTAGGAAATGATATTTACAGTTTCTTAGGCAGCCATATTTTCTTCCACACCAGCATGTTTTACAGATCTTCTTGTTAGTAGGCTAAATAACTGAGCGAGAAAGACTAACCTAATTTTAACTTGTCAGTTTCGGATGCAAATCAGGATTTTAAAATATATACATGCATTATTTTTTTTTTTTTTTAAAGATTTTTTTTTTTTATTTATTTTTTCCCCCCAACGCCCCAGTAGATAGTTGTGTGTCATAGCTGCACATCCTTCTAGTTGCTGTATGTGGGACGCG